GTCAATCCAGCCTTCGAAAATGGTTGGAATCCTCTTCCTCTAAGCCAGACTGAAGGAGAGTTTGTACCCTCGTGCATGGTTTGAAAGGCAGTTGCCTGGTGCTCCTTATGCCCAGTCCACACACATATCTTTTCCAAATACAACATTTACAGCCATCTGAGTCCAGTAGCTACTGTGCCCGTGCACACCCAGACTCACACTCAGTGACAAATCACAAGCCCAAGGAAATCAGAAACCAGCATAGCTGCTTACACTGGGGAAAGAGGGAAATGAACCCTCCCCTGTTCTAGAGACCCATCCTAGCCACAGCAGGCGGAGTGGGAATGTATAGTTGTGGGCTGAGCTGTGTGCAGCCAGTGTGCCCTGGCCTGGCACCTATCTCGATCAGTCAGTCTCTGTGCTGAACAGTTTTTTTTTGTTTTTTTTTTGAGACAGAATTTCGCTCTGTTGCCCAGGCTAGAGTGCCATGGCGTCAGCCTAGCTCACAGCAACCTCACACTCCTGGGCTCGAGCAATCCTCCTGCCTCAGCCTCCCGAGTAGCTGGGACTGCAGACACGCGCCACCAAGCCGAGCTAATTTTTTCTATATATGTATTTTCAGTTGTCCAGATCATTTCTATTTTTAGTAGAGATGGGGTCTCGCTCTTGCTCAGGCTGGTCTCGAACTCCTGAGCTCAAACAATCCCCCCGCTTTGGCCTCCCAGAGTGCTAGGATTACAGGCCTGAGCCACTGCACCCAGCCCTGAACTGGTTTTTATGTATTTTGAGCATCGTCCTTGCTTGTGGGCATGGAGATACTCAAATCCTCAGAAACACAGAAACACCAGCAGCATATATGCGTGCAGAATTACGTCTTTACATATGGGCACACATGCAGTTATTTTCCTGAAGTTTACAAGTAGAAGTCACATAAATTTGGAAAACATGAACTGATCTGAGGTGTGCCAACATATTAGGGAAGCAGCCGTCTCCTCCAAGTCTTTCTCTTGGCCTCTGTTTTAGTCTTTATGTCTTCATTTCTTTGGTTGTTAGATATCACAAGTGGCATTAGAAGGGATTGAAGGGGACAGAGGCACAGCCTCAAAAATATATATATCCCCAAATACAAGAATTTAATGCAGAGTCATTATTTTCCAGATTGCAAGAGTATTTTGAGAAAAGTTCAATTAAAACACTACAGCAGGCCGGGCGCGGTGGCTCACGCCTGTAATCCTAGCACTCTGGGAGGCTAAGGCGGGTGGATTGCTCAAAGTCAGGAGTTTGAGACCAGCAAGAGCAAGACCCCGTCTCTACTAAAAATAGAAAGAAATTATCTGGACAACTAAAAATATATATATAGAAAAAAAAGTAGCCAGGCATGGTGGCACATGCCTGTAGTCCCAGCTACTCGGGAGGCTGAGGCAGAAGGATCGCTTGAGCCCAGGAGTTTGAGGTTGCTGTGAGCTGGGCCGAAGCCATGGCACTCTAGCCCGGGCTAGAGACTTTGTCTCAAAAAAAAAAAAACAAAACACTACGCGGCAGCAGTTGGCAAAATTTTTCTATTAATATAAAGGGTCAGATAAATATTTTAGTCTTTATGGGCCATATTGTCTCTTCACAATGATTCAACTCTGCTGTTGTAGCACAAAAGTAGCCACAGACAATAATAAACAAATAAACGCAGTCATATTCCAATAAAATTTTATTTACAAAAAAAGCAGCAGGCCAGATTTGGCCCATGGGTTTTAGTTTACAGATCCCTACAGTGGGGTCTAAAGAAGCCAGAAGCCATGAAAGCTAGCTTCACAGATTTTTCAAAGATTGATATGGGCTCTATCATATCTCCTCCAGAAAGAATAAAAATCAATTATTTGGATGTGGCATCAGTTTTGTTCTAATTATTTTGTGCTGTGCTTTGGTGTTTTGATGTTCTCTTTCCATGCATTTATCTCTAAAAGCTTTCCATTCTTCATTCTGTCCCCTTGTACTCACGGGGTTGGGTGATTTTAGAATAAGCCTCTTTCACATTCATCCTTTCTAAAATCCTGCTTCTTTTCAGATCCTCATCTGTACTGGGGTAGGATGTGATGTACAATAGCAAAAAGAACACTTGTCTGGATCACTGGACAGGACATGACACGAGCTTGCTGTACGTCTTTGGGAAAATCACCTAATATCTCTGAGCCTCCCTTTCCTCATCTGTCAAATGAGGGAGTTGGCTAACTGGTCTCTAAAATCCCTTCCAGCTATAAGCTTGTGATCTTAGGAAGTTGTAACCTCAGATCTAGGCAACCGTCTGGGCCATTAATTAGGATGTCACTCACAGACCATGAAATTACGAGGAGGCCAGAAATTAGCCACATGATCTCCTGTAGTTGGCAACCTTCCTGAGGCCTTCACAGCTGAGAATGGTGGGGGTACCAGCTAACTTCAGAGAATCTGAGATCCTATCCCACTAAGGGGATAAAAGGAAGACAAATGACTTCAGAAACCCTATGCTCCAGGAAAATTAATTTCCATTTCTAAACTGCCATTGAAATAGCTACAAAATGCACACAAATATTGTTTGGAATATCAGTTGGAAACAGGATCCTAGGATGCTACTGTGGGAAGACAGGATACTTTCTCTTCTCCATCAGACCCTCCTATATAGGCTCTTCTGGCCATGTAAAAGGTACCCCTCAAAGCCCACCCAATAAGTATGTGAATAGGTCGGGAGGAAATGGAGGCTCTGAGGAGTTGAAAACAGTGAACTAACAATTTCCAGCATGTGTCAAAGGAAAGAAGTCTTCTCTGTAAGCAAGGATGAGGGAGGTCAGGGAAGGTCCAGGAACCCGGACTTTGGCTCAGGCAGGGGCTGGCGGTGGTTGGCAGCTCAGAGGAGAGTTCGTATAGCATCATTCCCACTTTTGGGCTCATTCCCAACTCATAGCCCAGTGGCTTGTGGACACGGCAGATGAGCAGGGGCTGGAGCCCTCTCCCTCCATCCTGGACTCAGGCTCCAGGGCAGGGAGGGAGTGGAGAAGCCCGCATTCTGGCCTCCAGCAGAACAGGCCCTTATTGTCTGACTCTGCTAAAGTGGTCTCATTTGTAGCCTAAATAATTCACTCACCAATCTCTCAAGGAGCATTAACAGAAAAACAAATCCCGACCCAGCCTCGCGCTCAGGTTCCCACTGCACGGAAGGCAGGCAGGAGGCTGGGAGGCAGTCCCGAGCTGCAGAGCTGGCCTGCCTTAAAGGTTCGCTGGGCTTGGCAACTTGCCCAAAAAGACCCAGAGTCTGTTTTTGCCCAGCCCTCTAGCTAAGGATGGTTTTTACATTCTTAAAAGGTTTTCAAAACAAGATGAAACAAAACAAACAAACGTCAACGACAAAAACAAAGAATATGTAACAGAGACTATACATGGTATGCAAAGCCTAAAATATTTCCTATCTAGCCCTTTCAGAAGAAGTTTGCCAACCCCTTCATCCGTCCCCTAGCCTCGAAGGAGGCAATGATATACTTTGACCGTGCACCCCATGACCCCACTATCTGCAGAGATTCAAAGTTGTCAGAATTCTGGTATTTACAGTCTAGTGAGAAGCTGGCATCACTGTTCACTCAATTACCAAAAACAAAACAAAACAAAAACAAGAAAACAAACCGGACTGGACAGAGGAAGGAGGAATTTCAAATAGTCTTGGTTCTACTACATGGCGAGGGAGGGAGGAACTGAGACTTGGCCCCAAACCATCATCTGATTCACCTTCTCTGAGGGTCAGAATTCAGCATTGTCCAGGCTGGTCTCTACTGATACCCATCTCCCTAAGGCCTTGGTGATCCCAATCACAGCTGTCACGGAGGCTGCAATTGTCTTACTGAGAAGATATCTAAGTAGCCCATGGCTCTGAGTCTGAAGCCTGTGTGTCATCCCGAAGCCATCTTGGGTGCCAGCCTAACTGTGCTGACCCTCAATCCTAAACAGAGGCTCCAGCCTGCCACCTCTCCTGCCTCGCAGGAGCCTTTGAAGGGAGAGGACTCTGACTGGCCCTACACCCCACCCAGACTCTCTCCTGGAGCCGGAGCTTCTGAGAGTTACAGCCTAAAGACCCCAAAAGAGAGGAATCAGAGCGGGCAATGGAGATGCCAGCTCAGAGTGCCCCAGATGTAACGGGGCTGAATGACCTCTGGGCTATCATGGGACCTGTTTGGGATTTTGGGGGTTGAAGGCAGAGTGGAGACCAAATGGCCCCACATCCTAGTGTGTGGATATTCTGGATGATTTCAGACAAGAGAACAGTGACCTTGGTAAAAGTTCCTACTCTAGCATTTCCCAAGAAAAATGTTGTTGTTGTCTAGCCAGTACTTTGCAGGTTACGGTAACTTGAGACAAAATTACCATGGAAGGCCCAGGTTGGAATCCCAATGTTCAGGCTGGCAGGTCAGCTGTCTTAGAGGTTTGCTCAGGCTGTGAGATCTTGGGCAAGTCACACCTCACCTCTCTGGGACTCACTTTCCTCATCTGTTATTATAAAACGAGCAAACAGAAACCTGAGGTGCTTGGATGGGAGTGATTTTAAGGTCATGTTCATCCCATACCCAACGAATAACCTAAACCAGGCCATGCGTCTGCAGATGCTCAGCTGGGAAGTTGTTTGGCTCCATTTTTGCTTTCTTTTCCCAGGTCAATCCAATCCCATCCAAATGAGATACCACGGTTCCAGCATACGAAGAGTGTTTTCCTTCAACATGTGAGCAGCTTGCTGGGGAATCAGGACTGATGTGAAAGAGGGAGGTGGTGGGTGGTGAAAGTGACCTCTTGTCTTTGTGCCCTGCGGCCCAAAGCCAGAGTCTGGTACCGTACACTTGAATCTAAATTATCTAAATTGTCTGTCATCAGCTCCCCAACTCGACTGGACATTCCTTAAGGGCAGGAATTATGTCTTGACCTTCTTCTGCATCCTCAGAAGAGCCCGGCTCAACTCTAGGTATGTGGTTGGAGATCCATCCGTATCTGCTGAGCTGCTTAATTGCAAGGCTCCTGGAAAGACTGATGGTGCATTTGGAATGGGACATGTGTCCAGGTAAATGAATCCCCAAATTTGCTGGCTAATGACAGGACACCATTCTTCGGTCCATGGCTCAATCGAGTCTGTTCTGTCCAGGCCATGACCCCCAAGAGCTATCGTGTGACCTAGAGAGCAAAGCGATGGGGGGTAAGGTTAGAGAAGGGAATGCCTATTCCCATCCCAGCATGCCAGAGATGCCCCGGGATATGCAGTCACTTAGAAGTCATTGCTGCTGATCCCCTCCCCCAAAGCAGTCCAGACTGGGAAAGCATGGCCTGGTGGTCCATGCGAACATAGATCAGGCAACCCTCACCATGGGTTGCCTCAGAGTAGCCACCCAAATTGCGAGTACAGCGATCAGCCTTACAGGCTACAAATCCAAACCTATAACATGATGACAAATGTCACAGGCTTTGTGGGGGATCTCATTCTCTTCTAGTCTTAAATATACTCAGAATGACTGTCTCCCTTCCCTGCCTACAGACAGGAAGCTCTATTTTATATCCAGCCAAACTTTTTCTTGCTGTAATTCCTTTTTTTCTGTGTTCTATGAAAATGGTTGCTGTCTTTAGAACCCTGAAGGCTGCCTTTCCTTCCCTGTTTTTTAGTTTGTTTGCTCGTTTGCTGTGTGTGGCGGCAGGGCAGAATAGCAGGAGGCAGAGCTCTGGCTTGCCCCACAGTGTCATTCTTCTGTACAAATAGTGATGACAGAGTGATGCAACTGACTACCCATGACACACATGGAATTGCTAAGGAGTTTGAGAAAATTGTAATTAACCCTTGCTGTGCGAGGCAGGCAGCAAACCATGAAAATAATAATCCTCTTGGGTGCTGTCACAGCAGACAGAAACTGGACTACAGGAAGGTGGGTGTGACTGTAGGGAGTTGATAATAGTAGGAGTGGGGTGGGGGTGGAGGGACGGGCCATGGTAGAGGTGGGTGGGCAGAGTGGTTTCTGTCCCTGGAATTCAGGTGGAAGTAGAGACTCCTCCCTGAATTATCTAGGTAATTTTCTCAATTCCCTACTTTGTTTTTTGTGGATCTGACACATTCTGGAGGCAAACTCACTCCAGGCAACGAAGAAGAAACTAAGGCATATGGAGCATCAAGAATTTGCCCAGAAGGACACAGCGGCTTTCAAATGCAGAGCCCCTAACTCCTGTCTCCGGTCAGGACAGACCTGGGAGAACCGTCTGGCACGCGTTCTCGTGGTTCACAGTCTCACCCTGGGGCACCAACATCCTAGACTCCCAGGGCTCCTGTGCCCCTTTTCCGCCCCAGGTGAAGGGAGAAGGGAGGGTGAGATGCAGTGGCCGCCCGGATACCTTGGTGGTTTTGACTTTCTTTCCGCTGCCGCAGCTCCATCCTGAGAGGTCCGGAAGCACCTTACACTCCTCGCCCGGCAGGCAGGGCTGCATCTGACACCACCACCTCTGAAGGACAATGGAGGCTGTGGGAGCGGGAGGCAGGAGCGTAGCTCTAAACTCTCCGTGAGCACAGCAGGCAGTCAAAAGGGGGTCTGTGAATGAAGTGGATGTTTCCACACGCCCTTGGGTTTGAGCCCTGCATTTCCTTCGTCTTTCCCCTGCTCCAGGCTTCCCAGAGTGGTGGCACTCAGGCTGAGGCTTGGGGACTTAACTCTGTCAACTTCAATCCCACCCAAAGACAGCAAGGAGTGAAGGCAGGCGAAGTTGTCTCTAAGGCAACCATGTCACTAGCATAGAGGCACGGTCATCAACACACCTCCTTGGTGTGTGTGAGGCAGTGTGTGAGCTGTTTGGAGGGGTCCACAGCCCGGGAGGGCACAGCTGGCATGCGTGAGAGCACAGTGGTCAGGTCTATGGGGTGCCAAGTGGGTGTGAGAACACCAGCGTGGGTGGGGCAGTGGGAAGGCAGGTGGGTGTGAGGAGCACATGTGTGCGTGTGAGGAGAGCAAGAGTGTGGCTGAGAATGAGAGGAGGGCATGTGGAAGAGGCCATGGAAGGAGCAAGAAGCAATGAAGCCCGTGTCTGCCGAGTGTAAGGCGAGAGGAGTCTGACGGTGCAGAGGAAGGCGTCTGCATACACACTTGACAGTGGGTGTGGGTGGCGGGGTGCGCGAAGAACGACAGCTTTCCTTATCTATGACATGGGAATGGCCACATCTGCCCTGTTCCCCCACAGGGTGCCCTGTCATTGGAGACTCTGATCATGAAAGCCCTGAGATGGGTATGAAATTTATCCCCAGCAGATGGTGAGGCCTGAACAGAGCTCCTTATTGCTCTGCTCAGGCCCTCCCTGCCCATGTCCTGGCCTCTCACTCACCGTCTACACAGGAGGGCTTTGCCCGTGTGGTGCCGGCCACCTGGCCAGAAGAGCAGGAGCATTTGACGGTCTGAGAGCGTTCCTCGATGCGGTTCCGGTTGCAGCAGCGGTGAGCAGCAATCACCTCGCAGGTGCCCTGCTGTGTGAGCACTGAGGGGCCAGCAGCATGGCATCAGGCACCCAGCCTGGGTTCCCAACCCTGCTCCCCGCCAACCCTGCTTGTCCTTGAGCTCCTCCTCCCTGCAGGGCTACAGAGATTTCCAATGGAGGGGAGGAGCAAGCCCGTGAAATCTCCCTGCTGCTTCCCAGAGCTGTTCTTCCTTCCTCCCCTGTGAGGCCACGCTCATCCCCCTTTGGCAGAGCCTGGCCCTTGTGCAGGAGAAAGATGGAGTCCCACACTAGCCCCCACCTTTCTAGCTTCCTTAGGGTGAGGGCAAGGGCCCCAGAGCTTACAATGTGTGGGGAGGATCATCCGCTCACACGGGCTTTAGTCATCCCAGAAGGAAAACCACAGAATTAGGCCAGGAGGCCAGACTCAAGGCCCCCACCGAGGGCCTCTCCCTCTGCAGAACACACCTTCCTGCCTGGGAGGGAAGGTGAGCAGTGGGTCTGCCCAGGCCTCCGCTGGACTGGGACGGAACAGGGGGACAGAGTTTCCTGGGTGAAAAACAGAGAAGGAGCCAGAACCCCTGCCTCAGAGATCTACCTGCTGTGGCACAGGGTGGAGTGGTGGCCAGCTTCCGAGGTGTCTGGGAAACCCCCTCCCCAGGACCCGTCGCCTCCCCCAAACCTGTGGCAGTTGGAGGCTGTGAGGCAGCCGTGGCCAGGCGGGTCCACAGCCAGGCCAGGCACAGCGCCAGCAGCCAGCCGCCTGTGCTCCAGTTCCGCGTGGCCCTCTCACTCATCCTGTGGAGAGAAGGGCACACCCTGCTCAGCCGCAGACAGGAGCTCCTCCGTGCCCAGCTCGAGCACCTTCTCTGGGCCATGAGGTCTAGGAGGCACGAGGGCGGGTGGGATGCACACCTTGTTCCCGGGCGGCTTTCAGTCCAGCACAGAGTCACTGTAGGCAACAGGAGGAGAGGGGAGCAGGAAGGGAGAGCCTGGGAGGAAGTGACACTTAAGAGGGGTCTTGGAGGACAAACTAGATATGGCCCCATGGAGGGCTATGACGTGAGAGGAATAATAATGTTGACTTCCAATTTTTGAGCACTTTTTGACCCAAGCACTTGGTATGCATGCTCTTGAATCCTTCATGACCGTCCTGCATGGTAGGATTATTATTACCTACTTTACAGATGAGCAAACCAAAGCTGAAAAAGCTTGGACACAGCCTAAACAACCATCAGTAAAATACTGGCTAACTACATTGTAGAGGATCTACACACATGCAGTCCCATCCAGACAGCTGTGAAAAACATAATGGGAAAATGCTTTATGTACTGATGCATGCATTGATATCCAATGATAATCCACTGTTAAGGAAAAAAGCATAGAATGGTTTGTATAAAATGTATGAAAGGAAGGGATTATCTATGTTGCTCTAATATATATAAAATAGCTCTGGAAAATATATAGAAAAACTATTAATATTGTTTGCCACCGAGAAGAGAAACTGGTTGACTGGGAAATGGAGGCAGAAGGGAGACTTATTTTTCTCCTGATTTCTTTATTACTTTTTGAGTTTCCAATCAAGGGAATGTAATAGCAATTCAATTTAAGCAAAATTTAAATTTAAAAAGGAAAAAATAAAACTGAGGCTAATAGAAGTCAAGTGATTTGCCCAAGGCCAGGCAGCATGTGGATGGAAGAGTCCAGAGCCCAGGAGCCTGACCTACACCCACTGCACTGCTCCTGCTCTCTTCCCCTTTCCTTTTCGTCCTCCATCCTTGATAGCTTGGGTCTCCCAAATCTATCCCAGAGGGTAGGCTAGAAATGGAAGGAATCCCAGGGAGGAAGAAGCACAGAGTAGCTGGGAGTTGCCCAGCCACAGAAGGGCGGGCGCAGCCCCAGGAGGCAGCAGGGCTGCAGGCTCAGGGTTAGGCCTGGACCACTGCCTCTGTGCTCAGCTAGCCCCTGGGGGCACTCCTGGTCTCCCACAAGTGCCAGCACAGTTCTGAAAATACCAGAGGCCAAACTGATGCCAGGACTCAGCTGCTCCCTCAAATAGGGTGCGTGATCTCAATCCACCCTTCTACCCCATCTTCAACTGTCTCCTCACTCACCTTTTTGGGATCTTTCAGTTCTGGCTGCTCATCTACTGATCTCAGACTCACATCACCTGTACAGGTAGGAAAGATTCTTGGGCAGTTGCAAAGGACAGATGGAGTCCATGGCCTGCATGGGGTGAAGGAGGAGCTGGGAGAGGGCAAGGGGCTGGGCTGGGCACTGAAGCTGGCCCCAGATACCTGAGCAGGGAGCAGTCTCTCCCTTTGCCCTGGGAATTTAGAGTTTAGAGGGGCCCTCACAGACTCTGGGAGCACGTAGGGTGGTGAGCCTGAGGAGAGGGGCCTGAGTCGGTGACGGTCGGGAGGTGCCCAAGAATCAGTGCTGTCCTATCTCTGCTCTTGGGAGGGAGCTGAGGATCAGGGAAGGAGCAGGACCTGACAGATTCCTGTGGAAAGATTCTGAGGCCCTGAATCCTCTTCACCTCCACCTCCTACCCCCATGGTACTTGCTTCCTGGACTCGTGCGAAGCTGGCTCAGCTCTGCCACCCTCGCTCCCATTCCTGCCCCCGGGGACTAGCAGGAGGGCTTTCCAGGTCTCTGTGCCTCAGAGGCCACACCCCCAAACAGCTTTCCATTTCTCCCTGAGGACCTCTCCTCCCGCACCCTCCTAAGAGGGGCAGAACTGGAACACAGGATGGTGGGGCCCAGGAAGGACAGAGAACCCTGAATCCTAGCTCCCAGGAGTGGGAGAGACAAGAGGGGCTGTGGGGGAAGATGGAGGAAGCGGTGGCAGTACCCCCAGGTGGGTGTGCTCCCGTGGAAGAGAGCTCCCCCCTCTTCTAGATTTATCTCTTTTCTGAGTAGGTCCTCTCCCTGCCCCCATCAGGAACCTTCATTTCGACCATTATAAATGCAGCTTTGTCTTCTCTCGGGTGATCCTATTTCTCTCTGAGCTGCCACACCCTCCAATACAACTCACCCATCTCTCCTGTGAACCCCAAGAAGTTGACAGGGGAACTCATTTGGGCCTGGATCTCTGGCATTCTGTTCCCTCCCTCAGAAAGAGCTGGAGAAAGAAGCTTCTGGGATTTGTTCTTGGGCTTCCATGCTCCTGCCTCAGTTTCCCAGCCTGTTTTCCCCAAACTCTAATGCAGGCTATGGTGAGTCTGAGTTAGCAGCTTGCATACCAGCAAGGGTTTGAGGATGTGAACCACAAGAACCATCAACCTTTCTCCACCTTCTCCCGCGCCCCTTCCCAGCGCCCACTCCTCCAAATCCCGAGACCACACCTGCGACCTACCTGCCCCACAGCGGCGCCCAATGGCTCCACTTGCTGGCCTCAAGTCCTCCTTGCCTCTGAGTGTGGGCCCAAGACTCCGGAAGGCAGACTGCGGGAGGGAGCGGCCAGCTTGGGTGCTGTCTAGCCCGGAGCCCTGTCCCCCTCACCAGGTTGCTGCGTCCCCGGGACGGCGGGGCTCTGGCCAAGCTGGAATCACCGGCAAAAGGGCCGGGCTCTGGGCACCGGGGATCTCCGAGCCCGGCCCCGCCAGCTCTGCAGAGCTCAGCCGGGGTCCCTCCGAGGATCCCGCCGGCAAGCCGGGGAGCGTGCAGCCGCCGCCGCCTCCTCCTGGCCCCGGGCGGCCCCCGCTCCTCCAGCCCCGCGGGCCGCCGCCGCCTTCGAGACAGCGCCGGGCGCTCGGCCGGGCGGGTCCGCACAGCCGGGACGCAGCGGCCCCTGGCGGCCAGGGGCAAGAAGAGGGACAAAAGGACATCGGTCCCGCAGGTTCCGTTCGCCTGGGCCAGACCCTGGCGACTCCGAGGAGGTCCCTCAAAACCCTTGAGGTCCCCTGGCCCCTAGTCCCGTGGCTCAGGGCAAGGAGGAGGTGTTGGGGGAAGGGCGCTGGGGGTGAGGAGTGCTAGCCCAGACCCTCAGGGTTTTTGAGCTTTGAAGATTCTGGAACTGCACTGTCCAATACAGTAGCCACACCCAGTATGTTGTTATTTAAATCTAAATTAAATAAAACTTAAAATTCAGTTCCTCATTAGCACTCACCATATTTCAAGTGCTTAATAGGCACATGAAGCTAGGGACTACTGTGTTGGACAGAGCGGACATAGAACATTCCCACGGTCTGTTTGACGACACTCTTCTAGATATTTAGGAGGGAATAATAAATATCTCTACCCCTGGAGAAGGGTGGGAGGACTAGGGAAGTTAGGAGGCTGGGCAGGAGGGCTGCCATAGGCTGGTGAACGGTCCCTATGGATAATAGGTGTGAATCCCAACTAGGGAACGAAACTCTGAGACCTAGTTTCTTCATCAGAAAAATTGTAATGTAATAAATTACAATTGCATAATTCTTTCCAGGGCTCCATTTTGGATGTGAAAATATTAGACAAATGGGAGGGAAAGGTGTTCTGTGAATTTGTCTCTTCACAGAAGGGACACGCTCCTCTTAGAAGTTGGGGTAACATGGAGGGGAGAGGCAAGGGGGAAGAAGCCCAGTTCTTGGCCCTGAGCCACTGGAGCTCCTCTGGCAGGGCCAGCCACGGAGCAGAGTCTGGGCTCTCAGTGGAGAAAAACATCCCACAAGTCTCTCTTCTCACCCCACCCCCTTTGCCTCTCACTTTCTGCTGCTGCAGGGATGAGTAGAGGTGATGACCTTCTCACGAGGTTCCGGGGCAGTGTGAGGATGGAGGAGGTGTGACGATGCCAGGAATAGGAGGTGAGAGGATCGGGGAGAGGAGAGCCTTAGGGTTGGGATATGGCTGAGAGGCTGTTCTGGAGCCCAAGGAAGCCATTGACTTCTCTGCTGACCTTCTGGTGCTAGAGCTGGGGGGTCTCTGGGCCCTGGCTCTGTGGCCCACTTGCAGACACACTTGGTGGGTGCTATGAAGAGCAGGGCATAGGGAGCTGGGTAACATGGAGAAGTGGTAAGTAAACTGTCCAGAAACAGTGAATAATAAAAATAATCAGGAGTTCTATTTTTTTCTTCAGTCTTTGGCTCGTCACTGTGGTTATGCCATTTATCTGAGAGCTGGGTCCAGTTTTTCTCAAGCAGGAGGGAAAACCCATAGGAGCAGCCTGTTCTTTGTTCTCATCTGCCTTTGCTGCTCTATGTGCCTTTGGGTCTGATTTTTTTTCTCTTTTGTGACATTTTCTCAGGCTGTCTCTGCTCAAAGTTCAGATATAACATAGCAGGCATAGCAAGCCTAAAAACCTGAATGACCATTGCGGGATTTTTATTTGGAAGCTGCCAGGAAAGCCTCCCCTTTTAGGGGAACAGGTTAGCCCTAGAAGCAGAGGGAGGTATGGTCAGGAAGCGCCTGGCAGACAGAGCCCAGAGGTGGAGTCTCAATCATCAACTGGGTGCCAGTGGTCCCTGATGGCTATGCTCAACTTGCATTAGGCCCATAAGGGCCTTGTCCCCATTTGAACTGTGTGTGTGTGTGGTATCTCTGGAGTCCTAGTGATCAACTCCCTGATAGGAGGTTTAGGGACAGAGCTCTTCTGGCATCAGGCCGGTACCACCCTCCCCCAGAGGGGAGAAGACAGAAAGAACAGGCAGCCCACCAGGTGCCAGGCCCAGTCCTCATCTTCCAGCAGGTGGGCTTTTCCACCTCTTAGGCAAGCACTTAGCCTGGCCTCTGTTTCCCCCTGGTGGCAGCCACAGAACTTGCTCAGCATTTCCGACTGCTCTCAGCCTGGCCCTAAGAGGAGAAGATTGGGAGGGAAGGAACCCCCACTCATCCCTCAGCCATTCATCTTCTTCCTAACCCTTCCTCCCTGATCTGGAGAAATCAGCTTGGTTTTAAGACAGACCAGGTTTGGGCATCAGGGGGCTGACATGAATGCGAATCTCTTGCTGGCTGTGTGACCTTTTGGGTCAAGTCACGTAAAATGGCAAGAGCATCCCGTTCTGCCTCCTCAGTAAAACTGACAGAATAAAACCCACCTTGGAAGGTTGGTGTGCGGTATAAGAGACCTAATGTATGGAACATGCTTTGTAGAGGGCCTAGTATGCAGTGAGTCCCCGATAAGTGATAGTTACTTATGATGTTATTTAGGTAATTAAATATGAAATCTCTGATTTCAAATCAAAAGTGTAGTTTATTGTATCTGAAACAAGAAGCAGTACAATTAATCAAAGTATGTACCTAAACTATTGACACAGTTTTGCCATCTTAATGGTAGCTTGTTTATGCCAGAAGTGAAGAAGAGAGTGAGTGGCAATGAAATCATAAAAGGCATTTTCCACAGCTTATTGAAAATTGAACATTTTTCCTTGTAGGAAGTGGTAACCAGTTGGTGCAAGTTCTGGTGAATACGTTGGATGACAGAGAGTTTCTAAGTCCAGCTTCTGTAGTTTGAGCAGTGTTGTTTGTGCGATATGTGGTTGAGCATTGTCTTGCGAGAGGATTGGCCTGTCTGTCTCTATTGACCAATCTCTGCTGCTTAATCACAAGTGTCCTCATCACTTCGTCCAGCTGGTTGCAGTAGACATCTGCTGTAATCAATTGACCAGGTTTAATGAAGCTGCAGTGGAGAGTACCAGCGCTGGACCACCAAACAGACACCATTAGCTTTTTTCGATGAATATTCAGTTTTAGACTGTGTTTCGGCACTTCATCTTTATCCAACCATTGTGCCAAATGCTTGTGATTGCCAAAAAGAATCCATTTTTATCACACGTACCAAAACAGTATAGAAATGGTTCACCTTTATGTCATGACAGCAAGGAAAGGCAAGCTTCCAGATGATTTCTCTGCTGGTGCTCATTTAATTCATGCAGAACCCATCTATCCAGCTTCTGTACCTTGCCCATTTGTTTCAAATGGTCCAATATTATTGGAATAGTAACGTCAAATCTTGCTGCTAACTCACTCGTAAATCAAGACGGATTCGCTTCCACTACAGCTTTCTGCTCATCATTATCCACCTTGGTCTCAGGTAACCCACGTGGCTCATTTTCAAGATTAAAATCACCAGAACAGAACTTCTCAAACCATCCACATACTATGCATTCATTAACCACATCCTTCCCAAACACTTTATTGATATTTTGAGCTGTCTGCACTGCATTGGTTTCACAACAGAACTCATATTCGCAAATA